TAAACTGTGTGGACAAATCTTCTAGGCAATTAAAAACCACTTTTTTTTTTTATAGTTTCTAATTTAGTTTCTTGTTTGTAACACAATCAGAGGTAAAACTATCTCAGGAACAGGCTCTGAATCAGTACTTGGCAAAGACTCAAGATACCTCTGTCATATGCATTTCCTAACTTACTGCGCCATTTTTCCTTCTTTGGAATTGCTCTGTCCTGAAGAGCAGAGATCTTTGTTAGTTTTCTAAGATGACAGGAAACAGTCTTTATCCTCCACTGTTTCAGAAAGCTACAAAAAAAAGGCACTTTTACCTTAAGCCTCAGTCCACAGTTCCTTGGTGAACTTAAACAAATTGAGCCTTATTCTAACTTCATTCCCCTGAGTTACACACCAAATTTTCACAGTTTAAATGGTCCCCAGCTGAGAGGCTCATGCAAAATAAACAACTGCTCTCTTCCAGAGTTTCTTACACTCGTGCCTTTCCTCTGACTCTGTACAACAGAACCTGCACCACCTCCAGGACACTGTGTGTGGGTTCACAGACTGATTTCCTACCTACTGCACTCTCACGCAGGGTATGACAACTCTGAATCGAAATATCCCTGAACTCTGCTGTTAATCAACTGTATGCCATTCCTTAAAAATATCCTTAATACATCAGAATTTTCTATTTGCCGAAGAAGTCAACTCCACCAATAAACTACTGTCAATACCCTCCACCTGCTGTGCTAGTAAAATCACTTATTCATTTTGCTGAAAACCAGAACCCCTGGGTCACCTCTTGCTCCAGCAAGTTCACTGACCCTGAAACACTTCTTTGTTCTTGCTGAGAACCAGGAGCTGGAGCCCGGAGCACCTCCACAGCAGAGACTCCACCCCTCCAACCTCCCATCACTACACCTGCTCACGTGGCCACACACATTTTGCTCCACTCCTCCAAATAAAGCAACTCTGACCTCAGTCTGAAGATTTCTCTTTATTAGCATGGTATTTTTTCCATTAAATATTCATAAGTTGTTTGTTCCAAGACAAAACAAACCACAGAAACTTGGTAAGCTGCCAGACTATTAATATTTGTACTCCTGGTATCTGGAACACTCACTGTTCTTAACAGCATTTTATGGGCCTCAATGCTGTCCAGGATTAAAAATAGTATTTAATTCTTAACTCTGATTAACAAAATTAGTAAGTTATAATTGGGAGAAATAACACTTAGTAGAAGACCAAAGGCAGTAGAAGACCAAAGACAGAGCTCAGGTTTGACGTACAAAGTTAAGAAGCACTAAAAAAAGCAACTTATGAGGGAGACTGAGGGGATGACGAAGAGGAGGTACCTGAACTTTTCCTGGGGAAATGCTGCGTGATGACACCACATGATTAATGTGAACTATGTTCTGGGCATGAAATTTTAAACAGCACTGGTGAAAGCAGGTTTAGGTTTTCTTCTGCAGAAAAAAAGAAATACAGAGATGTATCCAGTTTCATCGCCTCCTGCCTAATCATTCCTTGCCTCTTACTTGGATGGCACATCCCAAACAACAGCTGGCAGGGCCAGAAACCATTTCAAAATAAGTGCAGGGAAAAAAACCCAAACACTTTAGTACATTGATTCACAGATATTTTCATTTCATTATGAACTCACAATGTCTGTGGAAATCACGCAGTGTCTGATCTGTCATAATGCAGAAAAACTGATCTTCATCTCAACCAAAAAACCTGCTTAATCATTTATAACATTGGGACAACCAGACTTGGAATTCTGTAACCTGTTTTGATAGTGGTAACCTAAAAAAAGAGGAAATAAAATCATTCTATTATACATTAGAGCTGTCCTACCACCACTGCAACCAAAGTGGCAACCTCCTTAAAGCACAGGCAACTAAGTGGGGAAAGCAATACCTTGGAATGCTGCAGTTAGATTTGCCAGAACCCACAGTGACATTAATGAGAAGCCTACTACAAAAACACTGACAGCACTGTCAATACTTTCAAGGACAAACAGCTTTTAGACTCACCTGAGAGCACTGGCTGTTAACACTGGCTCTCTGTATTGCCATAACAAGCACAAAGGCAGGCACAGGAGATCTCTGGGGTGGAACAGTTGGTACAGAGAGCCCAGCACCAGCCACAACTAGCCCAGGTCCTGCAGACCAAACACCCACTGACAGCTGAACAACCTTCCAGGCCAACTCTCCTGTCAGACTCCTGTCCATCCTGCTTCCCAACACTAGCCCATGATGCACATCTAAGCACTGGAGGTGCAGAGGACCAGGAGACTGGCTTGGAACACACACTCCCCAGGCAAACAAAAACCCTTGCACTGACACCCAGAGGTTACAACACACCTGCAGCTGCTCATGCACACACAGGGATCCTTCTCAAACAGTCCCTGAACTGTGTCCCTGTGGCTGAACACAGCTTTCTGCTTACACTGTTCAATCACAGGTGGTCAATACCTTAAAGGTTATCAGAAGACAACCACCACGTCCTGTTAGGCAGTGAGATACTAAACATCTTTCATAGTACAGTCCAAGAAATAGACACAGAACTGCTAATAGCCTACATGATCACTGTTCCACTCTGAAACACCCCAAAATCTAGAAAAACTACAAAAGAAAAAAAAAATCAAAAACCACTACATAAAACCAACCTGAACACCATCTTTGGGAAACTACAAAAGAAAAAAAAAAATCAAAAACCACTACATAAAACCAACCTAAACACTTTCTTTGGAAACTGATATTCAAAGCCAGTATCTCATTTTCAGTCTCTGTCTCAAGAAATCCTGCCCAGCCACAGGACAATGATAATCTACAAAGTATTCCCTAATACCTTGTCCCAATTTCAACTTTTTTTAATCAACCATAGCAGTATCAGAACAAAGTAACTAGACCATTAAATGTTTGTAAAATTTCACCAAAGAAAGCCTTCAGGAGACTTCCAGGGGAGGTGGCGAATTTCCTTAAACCATTTTCTATTTGATTGCCAGTTTAAAGTTCAGAATTCTCTGGTCCTGACAAATTATCCAACTCCACCAATCCTCACGCCTCCAGAACGGATGAAGCAATGTTTCAGTGCAGACAGCCAGTAACACCCATTAATTTCCCCTGTTAGGTAGAAGTGGTGTTCTAAAGAAAAATGATCTTTCAGGTTGCTTTCTCTGAAAACTAAACACTTCCTTTTCCTGGTCTCCATGGTGAGAATGCCTGAACACCAGTGAGCTGTTTAGAATAAGGCTGCCATCTAGGAGCAGAGCAGAGGAAATGCAGAGAAATCTCAAGGCAAAATTTGAACTGTGAGCCCACTTGATGGTCAGACATGCTATTACATTAAGCTATAAACACTGAAAGCACAGATCTTTGGGGGAAAAATAGATAAGAAGTGGCAGAAAACAGAACTTGTTAAAAGGTGGTTTATAAGCAGACAGTTCCCAATACAATCCTAAACTATTTGGTTCACAATAAACAGTTTATCCAGTCAGGTAAGTCAACATGTACAGAGGTGCATTAAGTACTGCACTTCATTTTTTTCATTAAAAAACTGCAGCCTAATTCACTTTTTCTGAAAGAGTTTTTTTCCATGTGAGGTTGCAGGCTACAAAAAAATGCAGTGAAATAAATGAAGTCAGCCTGAACCACAATGACAGTCAAAGGCAGAGCCTACAATCTTACACTGAAACCAGTCACAAGAAAACCTTTATGTAAGCAACTTCCTGAAGCCTTACCATATTTATTCTTGTTTCTCAGAAACTATGCAGTTTCCAAGCAAGTCAGAGCTGCAGTACACAGAATTTTACTCTTTCATCGTTCAGCTGTCACTGGCTTTATTTTACTTTCATAGACCAAGAACAAATGCAATTTACAATTATAATCTACAGTTATTTGCCAGTGTTTCATCTGTGGATCATCTCTAACACACAAAAGAGAGTTCTCGAGATCTATCATGCTGATGCCTATTTTGTACAAAGCAGACACTTTCCAGTTCAGTTACTGAATATGTTCCAAGAAATCTGTCTTGGCACACCACAGTTACCAGGGCTTTTGGAAGAGGCTGAAATGTCCTGTCCATACAGGAAAGAATGGCTTGTTTCTGGTTGGTGGGAAGAGAAAGTCAGGTTTCTTGCTTTGCCAGATGCCCTGGCAAAGACCTACTCCCTCCCCAGAGTGTTTTCAAGGCCACCTGCTTCCATCACAGCTTTCTCAAAGAAGCTGGAAGCCATCAGGGGAAGAAAAGTAGCATGCGGGTATGTGGGAAAGAGATGACAGAAGAGACCTGGAGAATAAAAGAGAACACAGAAATAGAACTCAACCACTGGCTCAAGAGAACCCCACCAACGAAGGGGAACAAATGGCCTTGCACATCTGAGAGGTACAAACGTGTTTTTCAGAAGTACTGAGTAGAAAAGGCACCAATCTAAACGCAGGAATTAACTTACAGTTTTGTCACATCCAACAGCATTAACTTTGGTCCTGTGACAGTGACCAATTTCTGCAGGAACCTGTAGGAAAGCAGGTCACAGCACCAGACACTGCCTTGGCAGCTCCCTCTGCCCCTTCCTAACACAGCACATCTCATTCCAGCAACAGAAGCAACACCAGCCTGACCATACCCTCAATTCAGAACTTGCCTTTTGTCACTGGGACTTGTAACTTACCATGCAAATGCATTCTGTGTCCTTAAGACTGACTCATCTGTCCTCACTACTGGTATCTGTGACAGGCTACAGCTCTGGGAAGCACAAGTTCAATGAAGTAGGTCTTGTATTTGCAATTTCTCATTTACTGGAATAAAGACAAATGTGTTTTAGTGGCTTAAGCACATTTCCACACCATCTCTCTCATCCAGTGTTAACAAGGATGCAAATAATTCCTTAGGAGTTAAGAAGTGAGAAACACTTTCCATGCTTCCTGCTTTCACTTACAGTTTGCATTTGATTGGTTTCTTGTGGCTTACCCTGAAGCTATCACAGCTCCTTCTGTTAATCAGTAACTAATAAACAGCCAGAATCTGATAGTCCAAGCTTTATTAATAAACATCTTGGTTTCCACCCAGAGATCAGTTCTGTAGCTGAACCTCATTAGGCAATTCTCATTACTCAATGTGATACTGAAAAACACCAGTAATACTGAAGAAAAAGACATTTAGTTGCACTTCCCCTCCTAGAATAAAGCAAATGAAAGGCGACTAAATCCCAGTGTGTCACATTTTATGAATGTAATTATCTCTTACACCTCCTCCCTCAGGATTTTACACAGCTTGAGGCTTTGGGGTTTTTGCTTGGTAAAATAAAGTCCCCGTAGAGTTACTAAAGGAAGAGTTTTGGCTGAAATTTTATTATACCACTTTAAGAAAGTCTACTTTGTTGAATGACTTCCCTAGAACTATTTATATCAAACAGCTCAATTTTGCACACTCAGGTGGACTTTGGTATTTACAGTCAGCAATCCAAACACAATTCCACTAAGAATTATGCTTTTAAAAAACAGTCAGAAAAAGCTATGGGGAGTAAAAGGAACTACCACATCACATTTTGGAAACACCAGTCACAGGATGCCAACTGCAGATCTGCATTTCTGATGTCTCCTTCTCTCTCTCTCCAGTAAATAATGGGCCAAGAAAGAGTACAGGGTAAGAACTTACCAGCTGGACAAGGCAGGTACTCAGCAAATAACTGTTACAAAACAAGTGCTTGGCTCTCAAACTTCAGGAGTCTGACCACCAAAGTAAATGATTTTTTAAAAACAACTCTATGGAGCAAGAATTATCTTCTAGAGATAATTCATAAAAAATATGAAGTTCTCTAACAAAATAATCCTCCCAAATGAAACCATTCTAATTTTTGTCCTACCAGAAGTATATCACACCTATTACGAAATGTCACACCTAGGATGAATACCAGATTTTTAAGAGGATTAAAACCAACACACCCTGAGTATCACAAATGTACTTAATTCTCAGTTCAATAAAATATTGGAATATCAATTTATTAAAAAGTTATGTGAACTGTACATACGTAAACTGCAATATAGCTGAAAAATCTGAAATATATAATTTTAAATGAAAATCATTTATTTCTGAAAATATTTAAAATATTGCATTTCTGGCAGCAAATTCAAAAGAAGTGCTCTGGAATGGGTGCAGTCTCTCTGTGCATTTGTCTTCAAGGCATGAAACACATCTGCTTTCTGATTTTTCACAGCACAATCTTGTGACCACTTTCTTTCTGACTTGTAGAGACAGAATTCGATTTCCAAGAACAGGAGCAGAATTTTTAACAGGAAATGCTACGGTCCTTGTTGGTGCAGACAACACACTTTCCGAGAGTCCATGGCACCTTGGAAATCTGCTAGCCATCCTGCATAAAACTGCATCAGATTGTGCTCACAACTTAGAGAATAAGTCTTTGATTGATAATTTTTCTGTTTATTTCCGCCAAGGCCACTGAAAATACGAAGGCCTTTTCATCTGAAAGGTTAGCATACATGTCAACTTCTTTTTCTTGTTTCTCTGTAGAGGAAAAAAAAGTCACTATTAGAAGCTTTTCCCATTATTTGAAGTTAATGCAAGTTACACAGAAATTAATAAATTATGTGAAGTAGTGGAATTGAAGTTAGACAACCAACTCCTATGCACAGAGGGAGTGAGAAAGAGGAGGAAGTAATAGAGGCACACAGAGGTGCTGGAAGAGCCACAGAATGAGTCAGCCAAAAGCATGACCGAATTTCTCCTCCTTAACAATGAAGGGAGAATGAATCATATCTTTATGTTAATGAATCATTAACATAAAGATAAGTATTCAAGTGTTCCTTCAGGTTTTTTTGGTTTTAGTGGTCTGGGTTTTTTCTTTACATGACCACCTCCCACCCAAGAAAACAAAGTTATTTCACAATATGCTCATTAAACACAAGATTTGCCCCCTCACTTCACAACTACAAGAAAGAAACCCGAGAGTTTAATGACCATGTCAAAGGCCAAAGAGCAGATACTTGGATGAAGTCAGGCTCCAAATTTATCATCATGCACATTTCTGGACTTTCTACACTGCAGACTTTCCATCTTCTCCCAGCTGTAGAACAATGCTAACACACCTCACTGAGCAAGTAAAAGCCCATGAGTTCCCTGTGCTGATGCTGGCTTGCTTCAATGCCACAGACACACAACAGAAAGCCATCAAAAAGTTTCTGTACTGCAGTGCTCAAATAACCTAAGTTACACTACAAAAACTCATAAAATAATACAATTTGAGAAATACCACTTGCATAAATACCACCTCTTCCAGATTATGACTAGTTCTATCCCAGATTAAGTAGCCACAGGTAGCTGACACAAATTGTTAAGAAAATAAAGCCAACAAAGAAACTTTTGTCAGCAGAAACCAGGCTTGTAAACAGAAGAAAGAGAGAAATACACTCAGAGCTTTCAGCTGTGGAACTCCATCTCTAATCCAGGTTCCATGTGGCCTGGACTCTTTTCCAGTCACAAAACAAAGCTCACCTGAGAGACCCCTCTGCCTCACTAACCCACAGTCACACACATCCACACTGGCAACTGCTCCACCCAGACACCTAAACTAGCATGGGAAAGCCAAAGAAAAGGCAGCACTGGAAAACAGCAGAAAGCATGATCAGGAACAAAGATCCCAGCAGCTCCCACCTCCACCTACTCACACAGTTACCCTTCAATGGGTTCCCACTCATAACAATGGTTTTATTTGGCTTCACATTTGTGTTGCAGCTACAGAGAGAACTCCAGCAGACTGCCTTCCATGCGAAATCAAGTGCTTGTGCTCAACAACTCAGTGGGAGAAGCTCCAAAATCCTTTACCACTGTGTTCTGACTTAATACTGACACAGAAACAGCAGAAGCCAGCTTTTTGCTGACTTCCTGGCTATGCAAGGCAATATCCTCTCGTGCACTGAGTTTGAAATGAGTTTGAAAGTGAGTTTTGCTGCCAGTCCTACCCTGCAGTTGAAGACAAATCAGCTTCTGTATGCACAGCCTGGGCTGCTCCACTTCCTCCCTCTCACCATTTAAAAATTAACAATACTGGGAGTAGTTCTGAGTACAGACACTACACACACTGGTTATTCCACATTAACCTTTTCTATTTTCATATCTAAGCCCCACCCCTTGTTTCATACTTCCTGATCCAAACAAATCCAGCCACAACTTGAACATATCAGCAAAATTAAAAAACTCCCTCCCCCTGCACCACACCCTAGTTGCTATTAACAGACTGTGAACTTCTTAGTTTCCCTTCCTCCCAGATCAGCCTTATTCTGAGACTTCAGCTTGCTGAAATCTTGATATCAAAGAGCATGAGGGATTAACACAGATGTGCAGGCTCCATGCACTCTCAGGACAATTGTAGTTCTCATCAGTAACGAGTGAAGAGCTCACACTTGCAAGGCATTTTACCATACACTACTCCTAGGATACCACAGGTATACATACACTCTGAAAACTTTCCACTTCAGTCTTATCTGAGAGTAGTTTTGATTAATTTCTCTATTATGACCTAAAGAAAAACAGAATTGTGTTTCTACAAGATAGCAAGACATTAATAACTAGGGAGTTTGCTATACAACTAAGAGGCTATTTAGGCAAAAATAGTTTTTTCTGGATCACATCTCTTGTATCCCCAGATCTCCTGCAATTCCCTTATACTGCAGTCCTTAAAACTGATTATGTATAAATCACATATGGTCCTCCCCTTCACAAATTTTGTAGGGATTCATTTTTCAAGACAGCAAGTTACTTGAAATATCTGCACTGGGAAAGTAAATATGTGAGTAATGCAGCTGTAAATTACAGAAAAAAAGAAAACTTGCATTAACAAAATGTATTCAGCTTAAGTTTTATCAGGATACTGAAGTGTATATATCTACCTTTATGAAGATTTGGCCTGCTAAGAAATGAGTCTGCTTCAGCAAGTCTACTGCTCTTACTGAGACTTATTGCTGGTAACCTTTCAGAGCAACCAATACCACTTCCTCCAGTATAAAAGGGTTTTTGTTTGCTTTACTATAATCAGGCTTTTTACCCAGATAACAAGGCAACCTGGGAACCAGTCTAGCTGTGTGTCACAGTGCCACACAGCAAAACAAAGAACACACCTCCACAACAAAATCAGAGTCAAATTATTATGGAGTGTTTGTATTTCCAAAATACATTGCAGTACATCTGACAAGGAAATTAAGTGACAATTTTGACAAGCCAAGGCTGCAGGGAGGAGTTCCCATTTTCCAGGGTCATCACATGGCTCTGAAACATGTGATAGGGTAATTTTCTGGGTCCCACTACTGCCATATCCCCTCAATCTGCATCTGCTTCCTTTTTCCTCCCCCTCCATTCCTTCTTGCTAAATCTGCAGGGAAAATAGCTTGTTTTAAAAAGCCTTTTTGCTTATTCTATTCTTCTTAATTGCCACAGCTCTTTGCTCTAATGTGAGCCAGTCACGGAGGACACAAAAGAACCAGTCAAAGGCACAGACATAACTGGGAACAAGCACACTGTGTATGCAATTGCATGACAAGCAAGGAAGCAAAGCTACAGATGCCATTGGGGTCTTCAGGAAAGAAATTTTCACAGCTGGATGGTCTTCAAATGTTCAGATAATCTGTTTTTCCATGTTAATACCACTGAGGTGTTTTCTGTCTGCCTGCTTTCCCATCTACAAATGCATTAGGAACCAAGTATCTAAACCACGCAAGCAGTGGCTTCTTTTTAAGTCTTTGGGGCAAAAGCACAACCTCTAGTGGCAACTAAGAAGGACCCAAAATATCCTTGAAACATACAACAGGCAAGGAAATAAGATACTGACATCTGGCACTGCAGAGCTGACTCAACACATACAGACTGCTGCAAGGACTAGCAACCACTCACACAACAACTACCCTAACTGTACTAGAGTAACAGTTGTTTAATATACACAAACAACACTATCAAGCAGCACATGTGGTAAAGGAATAATATTTCTGAAATTCCCACTAATTACTCCACACACAGTAGTTTCGATTTTGTAAGCAACTTGAAAAGGGAGAGGTCAATGTTAACTTGTTTTAGTAATTACTTACAAAAAGAGAAGCTCCCTGCTGAATTTATTTTTATAGCCATGATAGCCTTATATATTAACCTTTTTTTAAATCTGCCTGATAATCATAACAGTGGTCTACACAGAAGTAAAAAAATATTCTAAGCCTACTTATTCCTGAACAATAAGATGAGCTGCACGGGGGCAAAGACAATGACAAATGGGTATGAGCCAAATCCCTGCACTGGAGGCTGAGGAAGAAACAGCCATCACAAGAGCAAGGAAAAGGCAGGGTAAAAACAGCACAATAAGATGAAGGCAACCTTATCAAGTAAGATTCAACTTTAAGGAAACACCAAGAAAAGGCACACCACACACACTCTCATGCCAAGATCCCACTACACCCAGATCTCTACACTTCTACCTCCAAGCACTGCAGTATTGTCACACTTTGGAGTTTGCAGCAAGAGGTTTGGACAGGAAAACATGTTCTTCTCTTAATTTAATCTCTTAATTAAATATTCTCTTAATATCCCGTTTGCAGCAAGAGGTTTGGACAGGAAAACGTGTTCTCTTAATATCCTCCCTGCTGTCAAATTCTTGCTTTTTGGAAACTATAAAACATGTTTTGAGAAAATAGTTCTTTTCCTTTGGTTGCTTATATTGCTTTCCTCTTTGTCAGGGGACAGAAAAGAAGATTCACTTTGACACTTTTATAGGGCAACCCAACCAGCTCACTGGAATTTTAAAACCAAGGCTGTTTGTGAACAAGACTGGCAGTTAAATGCCTAGAAAGGACCCTAAAGCTACCAGACAAAGTCCAGCTTGGGTCACTACCAAATAGGGAAGCTATTATGACTTATTGACATCAATAAGTCATGTGCAACAGTGATGATATTAGATGCTACAAAGTGCATTTCTATTACAGTAAAACAATTGCCATCTGGAAAACGTACAGAAATGAAATTCCACCTCCTCTTCCCACATTGAAAGCACTAAAAAACCCCCAACAAATCCAATTTATACTTGGTTTTTACATTAAAGAAACATTAAGAATTAGATTTACGTTAAACAGCAGAGATATCAAACTTGGTTTTAAGTCAGAAATTGAAGGACTTCCCAACATGGATTATCACCTTTTTTTTAAATATAAGGTGGAAAGGAAGAAATAATTGCATTTCTGAATTATGCCACATGATACACTTCAAGATCTTCAGGAGTTTTGGGAACAATATCTGCTGAATATTTGGATGAAGTTTTGTCATTCCCCTCTTATCTGCCTTCCAACCTTCTGAAGCCCATGCTAAGTTTTGGATTCATAACTCAGGTCTAAAATCACTATCTCCAAAAACACAGCTAGAAAACATAGTGTCAATAGGCTCTTAAAACAAGAGGAACCCTAAGTGACAGTTACATTCTTGAGGGCTTCTAGAATTACTCTAGCTATACAGCAGCCTCCTTAATCATTTTGTATAACGATTAAAACCAGCAGGTCACCAAGGAACCTTAACAGGCAAGAAAGCTTTCTTTCCTCCAGAAACACAGGACCAAAATTCAAGTCCTAGCAGTGATTCAAGATGCCCTTTTTACTTAGGCCCTCTGAAAGGTTTCAAGAAACTTCTAAAGTAATCCATTCATCCTAACATCCTAATCCCCTCTCTGATAACAGATATCATTATATGGTTTCTCCTTGTGATACAAAGCAGCAGCACCTCATGAAAAAAAAAAACAACCCAAAAAACACCCCCCCCCAAAAACCTACTTAACATTTCAGTCCAATGGCTTTCAACTTACATGTTGAAACTTGATACAGCGGCTAAAAATACAGATTTAGATCTTTGTAGCCAGTTTCATCAGACACTGAAACATAAAACCAGAGGTCTCTACACATGCAAATCAGTCCCTTCCTCACATTAAGGTATCAGGTACTGGCTGAACCAGTCTACTTACTGAATGGTATAAAGGTTTGCTGATTAAAAAAGATACAAACAGAAAATTCAACAGATTTCTGCAGCTCTCATACCTCTTTCTTCCTCGTGCTTTTTCGCTGAGGCACTCTTAGGTCTTCCTCTTCCCCGTCTGCTGTGGTCTGAATGGCTGTTGGACCTGGATCTTTTTCGGTTTTCCAAGTCTTTATTTACTGCAGAATTGATCTTCTCTCGTTTAACTCTCTCTGTCCGCCTCCTTTTGGCCTCACTCTTGTTTTCTGTGCAAATGGACAGAAATTACATGATCCAGGGTTATTTTCACCTTTGTTCTTCATTTTCTCTTAATGTTTACCTTTACCAACCCACCTTTTCCTTTAAAGTGCTCAGATTCCCATACCTTTACAGAACAAGTGCATCTGCACAATATCCATGCAGAAATTAGGGTGCCAGATCCAGAAGGGTGCTTCACTTCTTGATTCCAAGGATCAACCCTTTCATTACTTCAAAACCATTTTGCTGCCTGAGATGTTTGCTGGTACACAAGAAGCTGTTTCCCAACTAAGATGGGAACACCAACTGCACTCATCACAGCTTTTAAGACACCCCATTGTATTTGTTCCACTAGGAAATGTTAATCATACAGCAAACCACAGCACTGGGGCTTCCAATGACACTGACAATGAAATCATTGTCAATCAATCTGCTGCTCAGACAAATCGAATGCTGAGTCAACAGTGCTGGCAGAGAATGCCTCAGAACACAGTGAACGTGTCCCACCACATCCAACCTGTGACAGGGCCCCCTCATGCTCACTGCTGAACAGGTATTGTTCTCTTCAACACCCAACTCAGTAAAATAAAGGAGCATTTACATGAGTTTTAGCTGGAAGTTAAGCATGAATTAATGAGCTTGGGTACCAAATATCATTCAGTCACCACAGCACCCTCATGGATTAGCTGCACATTTGTAAGGCTGCAGCACCACTCCACAGCAGCTGTACTGCTGAAAATACTGGAACAACATTTTGTAAAAGAAGTTGTGGTTACCTTAGGAGCACAATATAGACATACACAGTGTCCTACTGTATCTCTCTGGGGAACTGATTTCCTTTGGCTGCAGCTGTCCCATTGATCTTGAACTGACACGGGGTACAAGCAGGGTCCAGTCACTGAAGCTCATACAGAACCTGCACTTCACAGTGCCACACCAGGGTGAGGCAGCAGGGGAACCTCTCCAGACCCTGTCTAAGCCCTGCTCATACAGGGCCACCAAGAGCCAGCTGCCCAGGACCGTGTCCAGAAGGCTTCCGAGTACCTCCAAGGATGGAGACTCCACAGCCTCTTGGACAACCTTTGCCAGTGCTGGCTCACACCCACAGTAAAAAGCACTGTCCAGAGCTGCTTTCCAGAAGGAAACATTGATACAAAACATCAAATAGCTGACTTCCATTTTGTAGGTCTGGCAGATCATTTTAAAAAGTAGGTATTCTAGATCAGATATTTGTTGGGTTTGTGTCAGTTTTTTTGTTTTTTGTTTTTTTTTTTAATATATATATCTTCCCTGTCAGGCTCTTTTTCTGACTAATTCCTACTACTGGAGGAAGCAATATAAATGAACACAGGGAGAATGCTATTCATGCCAGAAAGCATATTCAACTGACTTCTTACTGTGTCCATCAACAAAAGACACACAGGTCAGGCACAAAAAAAGCACTATTTAATTTAATCATGGAGAGAGAAGCAAGATCCACCCAGTTTTAGATGAAACATTATGACCAATTTTTTATTTGAAAACCCAGCCTCAATCAGCATGTGCTCTGAAATCAGATCCTTTTGGGACCTCAACACATTTAGCTTCAAAACAGGATTAACACAAAGCGTTTTGTAAGGGGTTATTTTGCACAATGATCAGCTAGAACATACACAGAATAAATGCCATCATGAGTACAAAGGAAGATGAAAACACCAGCTTCCCTCTTCCCCTCAAAAATCAAGAAAAAATAACATATTCAAAGTCTACCATGGACAAATTGAAGGGAAAGTGAAGTGACAACAGTCAATTCACACAAAGAAATAAAACCCACTCTCTTTTCCCTGCAGGAAATAAGGGGAAAGAATTGTTGCTCCCCTCTCCCCCACTGTGTAAGTATTACCTGTGATGGGTGGTGATCTTTCAGCACGTTTAGCATGCAAGAGTTTTCGACTGATAAATATGTAGCCACAGGGACATGATTTACATGCAACAGGAACCTGAGAAAACAAAAGACAAATTTTTCAGATAATTTCAAATCATGACAAAACTCCTGTCCCATGAAGAAAAAACACACTTAGTAACTCACATTTTGTCCTCAGAGACAACTCTTCAAACTCAGTCTGTACTGCAAACCACAGCCTGTCCTGTGTACTGTATTTAAACATAATAAAGCCAGATTCTGCTGTAAATCACTCACCAAGCCTTTTCTTTATGCAGTTGTTAAAAATCAAGCTTGAAATGTACAGCTGTTGTGATTGCTTTGCACTACTTTTCCCCAGACTGACAGGAAGGGGGTGGGGGAAAGTAGAGAGCATTAAAGGAAGGCTGAATTAAAATAGAATTAGTTTCTCTTCAGAGCTCTCAAATAACAGCAGTCAAATCAGTCAGACATTTCCAGTTTTGCTTCCTCTATATACTTGTAAAAAAAAAATAATGACGAGTTAAAACCGTCAGTACATTGTGAATGCATTCACTTTCAGCAGCATTTGAAAGCAGCTCCTTTAGAGAGGAGCAGCTTTAGAGGCACAATAGAGCCTGAAGCAAAACAGATGCATTTGCAGCATGCTCGCTGCAGACAAGGCCGGGTGGGTACAGAAGGACCTCGTTAATTCAAAATGCAAATAACCCAGCCCAGGCAGGCAAGAACCGACTGCAGGCCCGGGAGTTTGAGAGAATACAGTGCCTCTGAGCAGCTAAGCAGATAGCAGCAGTATCCTCCCTCCCCCAGAAAACAACAATGTAAAACAAGAAATACCACATTTAATATGGAAAATAACAAAAATCCACTCAGCGCAATTTTAAAAAGCAACACTGATAAATTCCAAACTCATTACCTTAGTGCCAAGATCTTTTGAGATCTTTTAGAGTACTAAGCAATACACCATGTTGCTTTGATTAGGTTTAAGACTGAAAACACAAATCAAAGCAAGTTTAGGCAGAGATCTGGAAGAGATTAAATAACACATTAAAGTGGAGTCATGCTGAAGCATGATAGTGGGGGGAAAAAGGCAGGAGGTAATTTCTCAAACGTAATTCTTTAAGACAGGTCACTACAAGTGTGCCAATACCCACTGAAACAAACAGGAGCACAGAACCACAACTGCCCCTCAATTTAGCCAGACATGGGAAGAACCAAGTTCCACAGTTCTACTGACTCAAAAAACCCTGCCAAATTAGTATGTGAATTTGTAAAGGGGAACTTAACTGCTACTCAGAATAAACAAATTATCTTGCTTTCTGTAGCACATCTGAACTCCTGCACTTCACCCTACAAAAAGCTTCCAGAGAGACTTTTTGATACAGGTTTTGCAGAACTAGAGATTTTAACTCCCTTTATGGAGACACTGACATAATAAAAATGAGTCCAACAGAGGTTTATTGAACTTTAAAGGTCAGAATTTAGCAGACTTGTGGGCACAGTCGTCTCCTTGTTCATACATCAGTGTAACAATACTGAAGTCCCACCATCTCACAGATAATTTGTGTGTGTTCTTAATGTGATACAGAATTCCAGCTAAATCCATTTCTGAACACTTGGGTCTCTCCAATAATTACCTTTCCAGGCTTGGCCTAACAAAAAAAAAACCAAAAAAAACTCTGGCCAAGCCACCCAAGGGGATTGGAACAGAGTCAGTATTTTTCAAGGAACTCAAGTGTGTTTAACAGAACAATACTGTTCTCGTGTTACAGGTTTAGCACGTAGGGGTGTGCAGCTTTGAGGGTGGGGGGCCTGGGAGAAGGGGTTTATCACTGAAACCTATCAGCTATCCTTTGAAGATCCACACTGATAACATCCTGCAACATAATTAAGGCAAAAGAGTCCTAAACACTATTTCACACTGTTTAGCATTTTCCTAATAAAAAGGGAATTTTTCTCATACAAGACATTTTACCTGATGCTAAATTAAGAAGTGATTATTATTTCCTCAGATTGACTGCAAGTACTTCAGGCTCCCTAGTTTAATGGAGCTATGCTTTGATTGTGAAAATACTGAAATATGATATGTTATCTAAATTACAAGAGAAAAAAAGTTTGGGGGGGCCTGGGAGAAGGGGTTTATCACTGAAACCTATCAGCTATCCTTTGAAGATCCACACTGATAACATCCTGCAACATAATTAAGGCAAAAGAGTCCTAAACACTATTTCACACTGTTTAGCATTTTCCTAATAAAAAGGGAATTTTTCTCATACAAGACATTTTACCTGATGCTAAATTAAGAAGTGATTATTATTTCCTCAGATTGACTGCAAGTACTTCAGGCTCCCTAGTTTAATGGAGCTGTGCTTTGATTGTGAAAATGAAATATGATATGTTATCTAAATTACAACAGAAAAAAAGTTTTTAAGTCTAAGAAGTGTTACTCAATATTTCGCTCCAATAATTGTGGCTGTCTAAATATTTCCATGCATGCCACTTCTACTGAAAAAATCAGAAACAAATGCTAAGCCCTTGCTCATGGAAGAATTTAAGAAACACCAGCACAGGACACAGTCAGATAAGAATTATATGAGTTTCCTCAAAATCTGCAAAGGGTTGACTGGTACTGTAGGCCTTAGCTCCTTGCTCCCTCTCAAATATTTGGCAGTGGAAAACAAGGTGTTTCCCACTATGAGCAATGTGTCCCGGGGCAGGACATATAAGCACATAAAATCCATGGAAGCCACAGAGGAGGTGCTAACAGAAAATCTACATTGACCAAAACGAAAACACACGATATGCATATAAGTGCAGAACAATGTGACAACTTTCACATCAGCTTAAAAATCCTACAGTGTTTTCCTTACTTATTTCCTTAACAAACTACTTATTGTTGGTAGTTTGACATTCACTACATTAAAAAAAAAAAAAGGCAACAAAAAAACCCACTCTCATATATGATTTCTCCCTCGTTTTCGTTTCTCCTTTCACCAAGCGAATAACCAGAACTTGGCACACGGTTTCTTTCTCAGAAAGAGCATTTCAGTGACGTGCCTGACGTGCCTCTGCAGCGGTTGATCTGTCGGTTAGCACATGAAAGGACGCCCACACACAGCTCAGCACTCCAGCTGTGCCAGCACGAGCAGGAATACTGTAAAAACTACGCCAGACGGAACAAAAAAATGCGATTTTTCTAAAGTTATGCAAATAGAAAAAAAATCACGTGAGGCTATTTATTTTTTGTAGGTATGGCTAAAGCAGGGGGTGACTTTGCAGAGTCACAGAACGCGTGTGACAGGCGCTGCCCCCGGCCGAGCCCCACGGGCCATTGTTCGGAGCTGCGCCGCGCTCGGCGCTCACAGCATTCCCCGAAAACGGAGACAAGCCCCTGACACGGCAAGCAGCTGCCGCTCTGTGTGAGGGTGAGCAGCTCCATTTTGTGCACACCAGAACCCGCAGGGGGACACCGACAGCTCGGGCGGGCACTCGGGAGCCGGGCAGAAATTGCACCGCAGGTCTCCATTTCGCTGCTTCCCGACCACCCCCCGGGGGAACAACACCGCTGAGCCCTCTCCTGCCCAGCCCCGGGCACATCAGGCATCCAAAGGGCAACTGCATTACATAAATCACCCGGTTCATTGTATTTCTAACAGATCACACAGTCACTAAACAACACTAGCACATAAACACGAGACTCTGCAGTCGCGCAGAAACCCCTCAGCACAATACAACTACTCCGCTACCCTGCCAGCGGGACGCGGCGTTCAACCCACATTCCATGCAAAGCTGCAAGGGCAACATCCATTGAGTTCACACAAACAGCGACTCGAGCCGCACGGAGCCGGTCTGCCCGCTCCGCCCTCCGCAGCCCAGCGCCCCCCGCAGCAGCTCACCTGCTGGTCGCACTCGGGGCAGGACTTGGTGGCCATCTTCACTTTCTTGGCCCGACTGGAGGACATGCTCGCTGCTGCCGTGGCTGGGCTCACACGGCCGCGGCCGGAGCGCCCGCCCCGGGAGGAGCCGGCGGGAGGAGCGGGAGGAAGGAGGTGGAGTGAGGAGCCAGCGGGAGGGAGCGGCCAGAGGAGGAGGTGGCGGGAGGAAGGAGGCGGAGTTGGAGTGAGGAGCCCGCGGGAGGGAGCGGCCAGAGGAGGAGGTGGCGGGAGGAAGGAGGCGGAGTTGGAGTGAGGAGCCCGCGGGAGGGAGCGGCCAGAGGAGGAGGTGGCGGGAGGAAGGAGGCGGAGTTGGAGTGAGGAGCCAGCGGGAGGGAGCGGCCAGAGGAGCCCCGCGCGCCCCCGACGCAGGACAAGCCCCGCCCACCTCCGCGCGCGCGCGCGGCCGGCTCCGCCCTTGCCCCCGGATTGGCTGCGTGGGGGCGGCGCTCGGAGCCCCCTGGCGGCCGCGCTGGGAACGGTGAGGGGAGCGGGAATGAGGGAGCCTGCCAGAAATGTCCCTCCGCCAGAAAGCACCAAACACCGCTTCTCTGGTGCCCATCTCAATTCAGACAAAGACAAGTCTGCAGCAGAGGGAGTGTTTGTCGCCTGCTGCACTGGAGGGAGCCTGCTGGTCCAAGAGCGGCGTGCCTTTTAGCGGGGTTCTGCTCACAAACGGGATGTTTTGAGCCCTCAGACAGCAGTGTGCTACTGCCAGACCAACGGCGGGACCAGGACCAGAGCAACAGGAACAGCTATTCAGCCGGGCCTCAATTTCTGACACATAATTACATTTATGTCCTAGCAAGTATCCTCCAGATTGTCGTGCCAGCCCTCTCCATCCTTACTGCCAATACAGTATGATGAATAAAGAATCAAACATTGGTTGCAGTGTCCTCTCCTGTGCCAGGACAACCTGTTGATTTTTTTTTCTTCCTCTGCCGTGAGCCTGTGCCCTGAGCCTGGCTCCCACACAGGCACGAGGTCCTGGCCTGTCCCCGTGGGCCCTGGGCTCCCCACACGCTTTTTTTCTTCCTCTGCCGTGAGTCTGTGCCCTGAGCCTGGCTCCCACACAGGCACAAGGTCCTGGCCTGTCCCCATGGGCACTGGGCTCCCCACACGCGTGTGGTGGTTTCTGCCTGTGTACACAGGCACTGCTCTGCCTCATGTGCCCTTTTCCTTTCCTCCTCAGTATTTCACTTATGACTCAGAGGGTGGATTTGTTTCCCTGTTCTCCCCGCATGTTTTTTTCCAGCCTATACCAGTCCATTGGCGCAGGTGTTTCTCCAGAGATACACAAAGACAAGACAGGTTTATTTTCCATATAAACTGTGACTGCTGCCAGAAAGCAAATATGTTCTATGTAGGCACAACACCCAGATTTCATTCCTGGATCCAGAACAAATCCATGCAACCAGGGCCTTGAGCTTGCATTTGGATTTTTAATTTTTTTTCCTTAACTGATAAGGTCCAGATATAGCAAAACATAGAAAGGTATTTGAGGAGGATTTACAACAGCAGGGGGCTCTGCTGAGTATAGTAACAGTATCTAGTAAATAAATTAATGAATATACAAGAGAGCTCACAGAGATCTATGGAAATACCCTGATTTTCTTCATAGAGCAAATAAAGTAGTCAGCTGTTCAACTACTCCTTAAAAAAAAAAAATTCCTTACTGAATGCAATCAAGGTTATTCCTAGCTAGAAAACTGATTTACCATACATGTATTTTTCATGTTATTCTATTTTTTAAGACATTACTTTTGAGTTCAGAAAGTCCAAAACTATTTCTTTTACATAATTTCAGAGGTTTAATCCAGCACTGAGATAAAAAAAACAAATACCATTTTAAGGGTACAGGTACTTTCTCTCTTAACAGAGTCAAGGCACTTTGCAAGACCAAGCTCCACTTAAAATGTCTTTTACACCAATTTAAAATAGAAAATAAGAAAACTTTGCGAAGTTTCTATCTTATGAAAAGCTGCACGTGACTTTGTAAGTGCTTGATGTATTCTTTTCTGTGCTGCTGTCACCAGAGACCAGCAGAGCTGAATGGTCTGAGATGTTTCCACTGCCTGGCACTTCAACTGCCTGCACATGGCAGAATTTTGGTGAGCAACTATAACTTTACAAGGAAACAAAAATTCCAAAATAGGAGCAATCCACACATCTAATCCACCTTAGAGTGGGAGAGAGAAGCGCTCCTGAGCTGTATTTCTGTCAGCACTCCAGGCAATTTGGAAGCATCCTACTCTCCTGCAGTGTCCCCTGGGAGAGCTGACAGCCTTGGGCTCTGTCAGCCCCAAAGTGCTGACAAAACACAGCAAATTGAGAAATTAAATTCCTAAAGTGCTGTGCAACCTTGTGTCAAAAAGGTTATAAAACACATCCTGGTTAAGTAACAACTTCCTAATTAGCCAGCTATAGTCTGCAGGGGTATTATTCTTTCCACGGCCAAAGTACTATCTAGAGAATTCTTAATTTATATCTAAAATACAAGATTTGGATGCATGAGAGCAAAATTACAAATAATAGGAAGTGCTAGATTATAATATTTGCAATGTTACCATGAAGGAATTGAAGTTGTAATGGGACAGTATTCAACTGGTAAGAAGAATACATTGTATAAAAAAATACACTGCTTATACAGACAAGCTTCAATCCTATTTTATCATCCTGATTTTGGTAATTTTGATAATAACAATAGTTTATAGTACTTAATAATGTTACTGTGCTTCTCACCAGTAGATTTCAGGGCAGCTGTAATCTGAGCGCCCTGTGAGTCCTTTCATAGGCAATCAAAGTCGTGCCTAACAAGTCTTTTGAGATCCCATTGCTTTGAATTTGGGCAAGACCAACATTTAAGTGGCACTAATGTTGGCTTTGTTCTCCAAGTACAGCTAAATATTGAGTGTTGCTCAATTACAAAGCATTTTTAAATTCACAATGTTGTTTAGCATTGATGCCTCTTGGTTTCAGGGAGCCCAGGCTTAGGCTGGCTCCTGTCTCTGGCTCAGCTGAGCACGTTAATGCTTGCCTGAGAAAAAAAGGCCGCAGCCTCAGATTTTAAAAATAAGCTTTTCTTAAAATATCAATAATTTAAACAATCTAAGTAGCAGTAGCACCACTGTTCCCTAAAAAAAAAAAAAAAAAAAGGGCTTCCAACATTTTATTCTCACATATTAGGCCTTTTTTGTGGGAAACTTTTTTAAAATCCACATGGCGTTCAGAACAGTTTGGTTTCTACCAATTAATATAGTTTCACCAAAAGCTTACATTATTTTCATAGAGCATCTTTTCAATTAGTTCTTATGAAGATAATTCAATAGATTAATTTAGACATTCCATCTGAGTTTGGTTTTTGGGTGGAAGGTTGGGCTTTTTTTTCCTCTTTATCATGAGATAATGCGTTGTTAAACATTAAGGTATGAGGTCACTTAACTGGCACTTTTGCAGTGTGCTGCATTGAGCCTTGCACCTAATCTTAAAGTTTTGTGTTCAGTTTGCAGAAAAGTAGAAATAGTTATTGCTCTAAAGATACTCCTTACATTCTGAACTGCTACTATAAGCAGTAGTCCACAGTAAAAAAACCCACATCCTCCTTACTTGTACAACACAGAATACAGAAAACCCTGCTCTTTTTGTCTGAATAAACCTGGTTTTCATGACGTGGTTTCCATTTACTTGGTGTGCTCAAAGATTCCCAAATATCATTAAAAACACTTTGGCATTTTAAGCTATTGAGAGCAGTTTTCTATCCAGCGTCTTTGTTTCAATGGAACAGCAGCAGCAGAATGAATGCTCAGTTACCACATGTCATTATTGTAATCATGGGGTTTAAACCATGCAACTATTCATGGCAAAGCAGCTTGTTGAAGGTCTGTCAGGCTGGAACATCTGACAGCAGCTGTTATTGTGTTTATCACCGTCATTTCTCCAAGGCTCCATCCACCTTTCCATGTATTTATACATTTGCTGCCGTTCTGTATCTCTAGCTCAGCACCACCAACATGAAAAAAAATTCATTATTTTAGCTTCTTAAAACTGCAGGAAAAGCAGCTTCTGTCTTTATGACTGGAGGTGGAGCTCATGGAGATCAAAGAACCTTGGTAAGCAGCACTGTCCACCTTCAAACCTTGGTTTGTCTGAAACTTGTGTTCATAGGATTTGCATATTCATTTAGGAACAACTTTGCCTCAACATTGCAAGTTCATCCTACACTATTTACTTTCAGGAAAGCATCTGTATTAAAATAACCTTTGGAGATACATTTACCTGTGTAACGAGAGAGATACTTTTCTCTAACACCACTTCATACTGCATTTACCATGGAAAGGCTTTGTTTCATCCCATTTATTTCCTGTGTGCATTTCTAAGAAATTACCCAGACTATTGAATTCCAGTTCTGCATATATTTATTCCAATGTTCTACAAAAACCATTTTGGCTTGTGCCGAGTGCATTTGCAGGTGTCGAGCCTCAGTCCAAGGCTGCCTGTGTTACACACTAACCAGCAGCCCTACAGAATTCACAAGCAAGGTCTGAGGGTTGCTTGGATTGGCAGCCATGCAGGGACAGAGCTGTCAGGGGGTCTGTGCCTTTCCTTGCTGGGGATCAGTGGCAGACTGGGGCAGTGCTGGCTGGACACTTTCTGCTACGCCAGCTCTTTCTGGGGGGCGGATTGGGGGTGGAACAGAGGTGTGTGGACCAAGAGCAAAGGTTAACTTGTGTTCTTCCCCCAGCAAAATTAGTGTTCCCAAATTACAATCCAAATTCTGATCTTTAATAGTCTGAGCAGCATTTCAGCCTTGATTTCTAAGGAACCATGAAATACACTTAAATCAAGATACCTGGGAAGTCTACTTGTATCCACTGAATGTAAATATGAGAATTGAAAATAATTTGAACATTTCAGGTCATCTGATAAAAGCTTACTATAAAATCCAATCTCATTTTGTGGTAAATCCTACCTTGACATGTCTTACCGCAGCTTGAAATATTTTCATCTGAACTACTTATTATCAAACCTAGAAAAAAGGGACATGACACTGTTAATTATGGAGCTGCCAGATTCAGAGAGCACTCAGCTTTCCAGATATACAACTGATGACAACTTTAAAAGTAAAGTGTCAAAACATACAGGCTCCAAAACCTGACATTTCAGAAGTTAAAAA